TTGGCTGTGTTTGGGATCATTCTCTTGCTGAAATGTCCATCCTGGTTTCATCTTCATCATCTAGGTAATGTAGATGTTGGACTGAAGCAGCTAATATTCATTTACAATGATAAAGGGCAGAGGGTTGCTGAAGAAAAAAAAAGGTGCAAAAAATGCATCCAAATTTTATTTATAGGCATTTAAAAAATGCCAGTATTACAGTGTTACATCAGAAAAAAAAAACAAACAAAAAAAAACAAATCAAGATCAAGCACAATGTACAGAATCTGTTAATTTACACTTTATGTGTTATCCGCTTGTTAAGTGGTGACGTGTTGGTGACGTATGTAATACTGTTTCTGGGTCCAAGTCGACACTCATTTGAGTTGAGATGATCAACTGTTCAATTTGTTTATGATCACTTTTTATTCATATTACACATTAAAGTAAATGTTATATAAAGTCATAGTGTACACAACAATCTCTGGGCTTGCTGCATCACAAATACCAACATTTTAACAATTTATAAAAAAATCAATAATTTCTGGCCATCGGATATTAGGCATGGACATATATATTGCGATCGTGATTTTCGAAAGTATTAAATCGCTTTGCAAACGTTTATTATTACCATTTCATGAGTCTCCCCATACAGTTGAATAGAGCGATTGGACCAGGAAGCCGCTTCACATGAAGTCACACTTACCAAGCGGATTGTGATCATGGATATTGTGCAACCTTGACCTCTGACAACCTTTTGCTGTAGAAAATTTAACTTTACAGTTTAACAAAGTGACATTTATTGACATTTTAGAAGTTAAAAAATAATTATATATTAAGTATATTGTGTAATTGTATCTAACTAATATAATTAAATTGTTGGATCAGCATAAACAGAAAACATGTGATGTCATGAATCAGAAAATACAGGAAACCTTTTCTCTGAACTTCTATATAATTACTTACATAATTAATCTATATGGAAAATATGCTGCTTTTACGTCGTTTACTTGTTGTTTTTAAAAATATCACAATATTTAATTGTTCTTTTTGATGCTTTGCTAAAAATAAATAGCATGTAAAATGTCCACAAGGTGTCAGTATATGATAGAATGTAAAAATGCTGAATGTCATTTAACAATTGCTGAATAAGGGTCATTCTACAGAAATGTAAGGTTTTATCTTACTAGCTTTAACAGAAATATTCTTGATATTTAAAAATGAAACAAATACGTTATTTGAACACCATTTTGAGTCATTAGTGTGGCAATATTTTTTTTATAAGGAAGGTTCTTTATTTTGAGGTCTAACACTGATTTTCCTACCATTAATGGCAAAAAAAAAAATAAAAAATAAAAAAAAAAAAAAAAAATATATATATATATATATATATATATATATATATATATATTTATATATATATATATATATATATATATATATATATATATGATTACATATTATGTTACTCACGGTGATGCAGCGGCGCAGTAGATAGTGCTGTCGCCTCACAGCAAGAAGGTCACTGCTTTGAGCCTCGGCTGGGTCAGTTGGCGTTTCTGTGTGGAGTTTGCATGTTCTCCCTGTGTTCAAGTGGGTTTCCTCCGGGTGCTCAGGTTTCCCCCAAAGTCCAAAGACATGCGGTACAGGTGAATTGGGTAAGCTAAATTGTCCCGAGTGTATGAGTGTGCGTGAGTGTTTGTGGATGTTTCCCGGAGATGGGTTGCGGATGGAAGGGCATCTGCTGCGTAAAAAAAACATGCTGGATAAGTTGGCATCATTTACTCACAGATGATTAATTTTGTCACTGTTGTTACTGTGCCTTTTCCCATTACTTTGATTCAAATTAAAATACATAATAATTTAAAAGATAATGGTTTTACATTAATATAATTCTGTTACACTCAAGATTAATATGATTGAATCATGTTAATAAATGTGTTTTTTTTTCAAAGATTTTCATTATTAAAGCAAAAATATTTTCAGAAAATATAAAAAATATATAAGAAATTTTATAAACTTATCGGTAACACTTTACAATAAGGTTCATTTGTTAATGCATTCACTAACATGAACTAATTATGAACAACACATGTACAGCTTTTATTAATCATAATTGAACATTTACTAATGCATTATTAACATCCAAGTCCATGCTTGTAAACATTAGTTAATGCACAATGAGTTAACATTAACTAACAATGAACTACTGTATTTTCATTAACTAATGTTAACTAACATGAACAAATACAGTAGTAGATGTATTGTTTGACGCATTATTTATTATTTTCCTATTTGTTCATTGTAAGTGGTGTTGTTTATAGTAACTGAAAATATATTATTTGGAAAAAGTCAAATTTGCTTCACTGTTCTGTTATTTTGTAACATTTTTTTTCTGTTTAGTTCATTCCCAGAACTTTTGGGCAAATACATTGTCAGTAAATAAATTCATCTTTTTTCCCATTGAAAAACGAATAACATTGAAATAAATTGCTATAACTTGCTCAGGGAATGGTGGATGTAGACAAAATTTATTTTGGAAGTATAAAACATCATAGCATGTATTTCTAAAGAAAGAAAAACAAATTTCATAAGGTTTTGTTTGTAATAACTAGAAAATGCCAATTTTTTAAAAATCGTTTCTAGAAAATTCTGGAATATTTTCTGTCTGTTCATATGTTTTTGGACCAAAAACTATTTTAGACTGGACCTTTAAATGATACAGATTGAAACTTCAGGTTTTCCTGTTTAAAATAATATATAACACTTGAGGCTGACTGCTAAAGTAAAAATAAAACTGCTTTTGAAAAAATTAATAATAGAGGCCCATTAGGTGCCCACAAAATACCTCTAGGTCTTAAAGGGTTAATTAACATTAACTAATAACCCTTATTGTAAAGTGTGACCAACTTATCTAATGTGTTATTATGCTGTTGCTCAGTGAAGTGGTTGGTGGTCTTTGAAAGGTGAGCTGTTTTTCAACGATTTTACTATCCTGATTACACGACATAATAACGCATCCACATCTCAGCAGGGTCAGTCATGTTTTTGGTCCCCTTAAAACATTTCCGTTGTGTTATGTGGATATTTGCAAGTGTTGTGACCAATTGTCTGTGCGTTTCTTCAGTTGTTTATGTTGTGATTAATTTGCAACGTGTGCTGTCAAATTGATGAAGTTGGTTTCTTTATTTGCTGGTGTTTTTTGTAATTGCAAGTGCTTTTTTAAATTGCAGCGCATTAAGCTCTCTCGGCCACCAAACTAAATCCTTTTCAAGAACCGGCATAGGCTGTTTGTCCAATCTTATGATTTTTTTCTTTTTTTTTAGTGGGAAATGGACGTCTTTTAATGGACAGTACAGAAATACAGTATCGTGACAAGTCTGATATAGTGAAAGAATCAGTTCATTGACTTTAGTTTGATAAATGGCATCTAAAACGTGTTTGGGAAAGAAAAGGTTAGCTAACTAGTGCCATTTTCATGAACTTAGCTAAAAATGAGGTCAAATAAACCCTTTTAATTTTCACTATCCATTCAGAATGGACCTTCGGGTCACTTGGAAAGCAGTGAAATTATAAATTTGTGTCACTTTCTCTTCACTGATAATATATATAGCCAGGTACACAACATTCCTACACTGTAAAAACGCCAACTTTCAAAAAGTCCTCTGAACAAAGATTAATAAGTTAACTGAATTTAAATATTTTCATTTGAAATGCTGACAAATAATAGTTAGTTTGTTCAACAAATATGGTGCTTCAATGTGAAAAACTTAAAATATTTCGTTGAACTAATACAAAATTCTTAGTTTTGCGTTGATGCGTGCCCTTCTTGTTGGCGCATGCGCCTTATAAGCTTCTGGCGCATGCGCAATTTACTTCCATAGCTCACTGCAGGGGGTACCTGTCACGTGCGCGCGACAAAACGAACCATCTTTCTTTCTGCGGAGCTACGTGTCAATCGTTTTCATAATCAATTGTATATAATTGTATACATGTTTTTGTGCGATGTGCTACCCATCTGACTGCCCGATCTATTTTACCAGTGTATTAATGATATGAGAGACCGTGATAGAGCGGTTAAGAGTAGTGGTGGGCAAAGCGAGGCTTCGTGAAACACTGAAACAGTCGAAGCAAATGTGTCGAAGCTTCGAAACGTTTCGAAACCTCACTCTACAGTGACATTTAGTGGTCATTTTTATATATATTGCACTGAAACAGCTTCAGCAAAGAACGATTGAACAAATTGAGGGATTAAACCCAACTTTGTGAAAGTGGAATCCTACAAGTAACATAGTACAGTGGTTAAGGTGTCAAACATCCATGCAGGAGTAGTAGGTTTCGAAGCCAGTCAGTAGCAGTTGTTTTAAAATGTTTTAATACCAGTTGGTAATGCTTTGCTCTTGTATCGTTTTGTTTCAACATTGGTCTGATATCCGAATAAACAATTTGTGAATAAATATGTCTTGTTTTTGTCTTAAAACAGGGTTGTTGCTAGATCAAAAACGGTGGCCTGAAGTTATCAAGAATTATTTATATTATTCATTAAATTTCCCATTTATTGTATTTTATTAATGTCTACCCAAACCCTAAACCCAACCATACTGTAAAAATATTTATTATTGTTTTACAGTGTTACAAAAATGATGCTAAATTGATGGCGTAACTGTAGCTGTATCCTATTTAGGCTACACAAAACAGAAACATGATTAAAATACATAAAACCATGATTTCGAAGTCGGGATTCGAACCCAAAACATCATGCTAAGCATAGAATCAATAAGCAAACCCACAGTGCTCTAAGCCATTTGAGACAGAAATAATTTGGAGACCTTGGCAGTCAAATTAGGATTCACCAGGTCTCGAAACGTTTCTAAGCTGATCGATGCTTTGAATCGCTTTAGTCACGTGACTAGGTGTTTCGAAACACTTTAGTCACGTGACTTGGGTGCTTCGGATCATGCTTCGGTGCAGTGATTCGAAACACTTGCGCTTCGGGATCTCGACACTGTGTCAAAACATCAGTTTCACGTCAGCCATCCCTAGTTAAGAGCAGGCCAACGACGTTTCTGCTAAATCATAGGTATGTATGTCTTTTTTTGTTGTCATCTAACGTTATATTATTTGATATGTTGGCTTTGATGTGCGCGTGTATCCTAATACGGAACTATTTGTTATAATTTAGCCGTGAGTTACTTGTTTCGTGCACTTGGTTTTGGCTATTTACATCAATAAAAGTTTAGAGTGAATGTATTTGAAACAAATAGCGATTTCAATCGAGTCATTTGCTTTAATAACTCACGATTAATACAATGAGTATCATATAACATACCAGATCAGGTATCCAAGTCAAATATAACATTATGTCCTGTTTATCTAGATTGCTGTCAGCATTGCGCACATCATAACCTTTTTTCCCTTCGAACCAGAGCCAGTGGAACAAACGGTGACGTGTTTAACTGTGTAATTTGTGTGAAAGTCGTGTGATTTTCATGTAATTCATTGCTTGATTTGTTAGCTCGACTAAATGTCTATCATATTCAGACCAACTTGCTTTAACAGTCAGCTAGCTTTTATTTACATAAAAATATAAAGGGCTAAATATATATTTTTCTTTCTTTTTGCTCAAAAGGACTGAAATATTGACAATGACATAATTCAATGCAAGACTTCCTTGAGGAGGTGAGACTTGTTATCATAAGTGAAATTTGACGGTCATTCACCAGCAGATGCAAGAAACCTTTTCTCTTTGCCCAAAAGAAGTTGTTGAGATTTAGCCAGGAAGAAATTAGAGAGAGATAACCTGGACTTTAAGGAAGAGGTAAGTCACTATATTGCAATTGCTTTGGTTTCATTCAAGGTAGTAATGATAATGCTAAAAATAACAACCAACATTATTATTATAGGTAATTCAAAATACATCTGTATTCAGCATTTGAACATTTAAATATTTACATTTACACACACATATATATATATATATATATATATATATATATATATATATATATATATATATATTTTATGTGTAAAAATTAATATGTATGTTTTTTTTTGTATATTGTAGATCTGCACAGAGTTTTCTCAGATCTGTAATGTAGATCTCCTGAGACAGTTAATCGAGTGACTTGATAAATATACAGCACCTCTCCTGAAACTCTACAGAAAAGAAGGGATTCAATGGGTCCAGAGATGGATACAACTTTAAACAAGATGGATGAGCAGGTACTTATTAAGATTTTTTTTTTCTTATACACCCGTCTGATGTTTTTAACATGTGCAACATATTTTGTCCTGTCAAGAATTTCATGCTCAGGTAATACAGTCTAATAAAACGTAATTGCAACAATTTAATTGTCCAGCCCTTTTGCATTAATTTTAATTGTGTCAAGTTGTGTTTTGATTGTGAGATGGAAGTAAGATAAATAACAGATGTTTCACTTGTTTTGAGTGACCATTTCAAATGAATACATTCAAAGAGGAAAATAGAAAATAATAGCTGTAGTTTTTAACTCAAAGTAATTGTCACATGAAACTAAACATTTTTCTAAATTTGCCAACACAACCATTATCAAATTCCATTGTATGGAAACCACAAAATTCTTTTTTAAAAATAAAGCCATGTGTTTTTCAACAGCATGAATAAAATACTATGCTCATTTAAATGTACTAAGTACATTTTTACTTACAAAACAATAAGATTGTAAAACACCCTTTGTAAATGACTTTCCTTTAGGTCACTGATATTGTCACCGATCGAGAAAGAGCAGCTCTTGAGGGATTGCCAATTTTTCTTCGTAAAAATTCTGCTTGCTTTCTCAAGATATGTCTGGTAAGTTACCCATTTTCATACCCTATTCTACATTTATTAGTCTGCTTGGTAACACTTTTAATAGCTGCACGCTATAAATAATTTATTTAGTATTAGCGAATAGTTAATTTATTTTCTGTTAAGCATAACTCTACATGAAGTGCTCAATGATTGTATTTTTTTTTAACTTTAATGATTTATTTGTATTACTAATTTAAGTATTGCATTATTTACAAACCAGTTATTTAAGAATAGTTGGTGTTTTTAAGATCATTCAGAATGCTTAAGTACACGATTAATAAACTATTCAAATTAACATTTAAATATCCTAATATTAAGGTATGTAATAATAGTTACTTTGTATGTTAGTATATGCTTTATGAGCTTAACTTCATCCAGTTGTGACCTAATCTAAAGTGAGGACTATTTATGCTTTATAAATCCCTTATGAATGACAATTAAAGGCTCAGTTATATTCTAAACAGGACAATAAACAACTTTCACAATTGAAACTGTATCAAATAAAAGTAAATCTTTGCAATTTTATGTAAAATAAAAGTTTAAAAAATTGCTAAATATTAAAAAGTTGTCAATATATTGTTCAATTATTATATATTATAGACTTTTCAAAGTGTTACTGTTTGTATGTACGAAAGTATTACATGTTTTTATTTTCTTTGCATAATAGTAATAACATTAATAAGTAGTAATTAATATTACACATCAATTAATTTTCCCATTACTTAATCTCCTATAAGGACACGGACCCTGAAGACCACAGCACCAGAGATTAAAGGATTGGAATCTTCACTGTGGTGGAAGATGATAATGGCACTTCTGCATCCCTGCAATATGTGATGAACCTCGCTAAAATCTTGGAGGAGGCCATAGTACTTCAGGATATCACACATCTGCCTGCAGCCTTCGCTTACTTGTTCAGCCTCTTGTATAGACTGAATATGGAACACCCAAAAGAACTCAAATATACTTTTTAAGTGATTCAGCATGTTTTATGGAGGTTGGTGGCACATGATCTGCGAGAGTTCAGTTCATTCATTCATTCATTTTCTTTTCGGCTTAGTCCCTTTATTAATCTGGGGTCGCCACAGCGCAATGAACTTGTTTTACGCAGCGTATGCCCTTCCGGCTGCAACCCATCTCTGGAAAACATCCATACACACTCATTCACACATACACTACGGACAATTTTAGCCTACCCAATTCACCTGTGCCACACGTCTTTGGACTGTGGGGGAAACCGGAGAACCCAAAGGAAACCCACGTGAACGCAGGGAGAACATTCAAACTCCACACAGTAACGGCAACTGACCCGTGACCACTTCCTAATGTGCCACTGTTTCAATGTTTTGAGGTCTGTTTTTGGACTTTATGTACTTTGTTGACAAAAGTGCAGTACACTTTAAAGACTGTATGAATGGAGTGGCTTTTAGGGTTTACTCTGATTAGATGATTGTATATTCACCTGGTTTGAGTGTTTAGACACACTAATAGCTTGGTTTTAGTAAGGTTGCCAGTTATTTTATGTTGAGGCAGTGTACAATCTTTTCAAATCTGGAAACATTCAGTACTAGTTGTGTACAAACTAGCCCAATGCTGAACACGGCTAATGTCAAATGCTGATTTTGTATGCAAATGTTTTGGATTGTGATTTGAACACAGTTAAAAATAAAAAAAAGTGAATTGACTATTCTTGTGTATTTAATTTGAATCCTAAAAATTAATAGTAAATGCATAATGAATCAGTTTGTTTTATTTTGTTCAGTAAACTAAAAAAATCTTGTTGGGTAAACATAATCATTTTTGTTCAGTAAACAAAAGATCTTGTTGAATAAACGTGAAAATTTTTGTTCAGCAAACAAAAGATCTTGTTGAGTAAACATGATAATATTTGTTCAGCAAACAAAAATATCTTGTTGGGTGAACATGACATTTTTTGTTCAGCAAACAAAAATATCCTGTTGGTTGAACATGATATTTTTTGTTCAGCAAACAAAAATATCCTGTTGGTTGAACATGATATTTTTTGTTCAGCAAACAAAAATATCTTGTTGGGTGAACATGATACTTTTTGTTCAGAGAACTAAAGAATTCAACAAAATATTTTGAGTTCACTGGTCTTCAAACCCTGTTTGTTGAGTTAACTCAAAAAGCTATGTGTGATAGGTTGCCTAATTATTTTAAGTTTACTCAACTTTTTTTTTTTACAGTGTATGTGACTCCAAGCGATTCTTCCGGGTACACCGCAGCCTTGATTTCACTTTTGAAAATGGCAGCCGCATGAAATCAGTCTATTGTGCTAAGTTACTGTAGCTGAAATAGATAATGTATTCCTCAAATGGCATTAATACAACACTGAAAAAGGTCACACTTTATTTTGATGGTCCGTTTGTTCAATTAATTTTACATTGAATCTACATGCCAACTAATTCTCATTAGATTATAAGTAGACTGTTAGGTTGACGTTATGGTTAGGGTTAGGATTAGTGTAAGTTGACTGAAGTGAACTGATGAACTTTACGACCAATCAGTAATTTCCAACTATCAACAGTGTCTTAAATGCTAGTGGACAATGGACGACTTTTAATGGACAGTACAGAAATTCAGTATCATGACAAGTCTTATATAGTGAAAGAATCAGTTCATTGACTGAAGTTTGATAAATGGCATCTAAAACGTGTTTGGGAAAGAAAACGTTAGCTCACTAGTGCCATTTTCCTGAACTTAGCTAAAAAAGAGGTCCAATATCCTTTATATTTTCACTATCCAATTCAGAACAGACCTTCGGGTCACTCGGAAAGCAGTGAAATTATAAATTTGTGTCACATTCTCTTCGCTGATAATATATACAGCCAGATACACAACATTCCTATGTGACTCCAATCGATACTTCCGGGTACACCGCAGCCTTGATTTCACTTTTGAAAATGGCAGCCACATGAAATCAGTCTATTGTGCTAAGTTACTGTAGCTGAAATAGATAATTTATTCCTCAAATGGCATTAATACAACACTGAAAAAGGTCACACTTTATTTTGATGGTCCGTTTGTTCATATAATTTTTACATTGAATCTAAATGCCTACTAATTCTCATTAGATTATAAGTAGACTGTTAGGTTGACGTTATGGTTAGGGTTAGGATTAGTGTAAGTTGACTGAAGTGAACTGATGAACTTTACGACCAATCAGTAATTTCCAACAATCAACAGTGTCTTAAATGCTAGTGGAAAATGTACGTCTTTTAATGGACAGTACAGAAATTCAGTATCATGACAAGTCTTATATAGTGAAAGAATCAGTTCATTGACTGAAGTTTGATAAATGGCATCTAAAACGTGTTTGGGAAAGAAAACGTTAGCTAACTAGTGCCATTTTCCTGAACTTAGCTAAAAATGAGGTCAAATAAACCCTTTTAATTTTCACTATCCATTCAGAATGGACCTTCGGGTCACTTGGAAAGCAGTGAAATTATACATTTGTGTCACTTTCTCTTCACTGATAATATATATAGCCAGATACACAACGTTCCTATGTGACTCCAAGCGATTCTTCCGGGTACACCGCAGCCTTGATTTCACTTTTGAAAATGCCAGCCGCATGAAATCAGTCTATTGTGCTTAGTTACTGTAGCTGAAATAGATAATGTATTCCTCAAATGGCATTAATACAACACTGAAAAAGGTCACACTTTATTTTGATGGTCTGTTTGTTCAATTAATTTTACATTGCATCTACATACCAACTAATTCTCATTAGATTATAAGTAGACTGTTAGGTTGACGTTATGGTTAGGGTTAGGATTAGTGTAAGTTGACTGAAGTGAACTGATGAACTTTACGACCAATCAGTAATTTCCAACAATCAACAGTGTCTTAAATGCTAGTGGAAAATGTACGTCTTTTAATGGATAGTACAGAAATTCAGTATTATGACAAGTCTTATATAGTGAAAGAATCAGTTCATTGACTGAAGTTTGATAAATGGCATCTAAAACGTGTTTGGGAAAGAAAACGTTAGCTAACTAGTGCCATTTTCCTGAACTTAGCTAAAAAAGAGGTCCAATATCCTTTATATTTTCACTATCCAATTCAGAACAGACCTTCGGGTCACTCGGAAAGCAGTGAAATTATAAATTTGTGTCACATTCTCTTCGCTGATAATATATACAGCCAGATACACAACATTCCTATGTGACTCCAATCGATACTTCCGGGTACACCGCAGCCTTGATTTCACTTTTGAAAATGCCAGCCACATGAAATCAGTCTATTGTGCTTAG